GGAAAAAGGGGATGTTGGTGAGGAAAGCAGGCTGATGTAAAGAGAAAGGCGCTGTGGTGCGGTCCCTCACTGACACGTACACGTTTGCTGAGGGCGGCTTTCAGATTTCCCACGTTTATAGGTCAACATGTAACAAACAAACATGACAGGGAAATTCTTCCTCACTACCAGAGTTTGGCGGCTGATTCAGAGTCAGATAAGAAGCTGCAGGACGTGAGGCCTTTTCTTACTGTCACTGACTGCAGATGAAATATCAATGAGGAACCTGAGGAACTTGATTTTACCTTAGATTAATATTTAATGAGCTATGTTTGAATATAAATGAGCTGCGATGGGCAGAGGAACAGAAAATATTCAGTCTGTTAATGTTTCCTGCAGAAATCCTGTGGCAGAAAGTTCTGATTCAAGAAAAATACTTTTAGAGTTCAAACATTTGTAGAAAGTTCAGTTTTATACAATTGAGATTATTTTTTGATGTTTCTATAGAATCAGTTTAAGTTTGAAGCTTTTTCTGAACCAGATCAGGTTGTGTTTTTTTCTCCATGTCAGGTTTGGTCTCAGTTTCCTGTCAACTCGCTCACACTCTGTGTTTGGGTTTGACTTCTGGTTTGTTTATTTTCTGTTGGGCTTTTCATGTCCTTCAGATGTTTCCATTCTCCATGTTTCCTGCTTCATTCCTCTATGTTTAGTTTATTCTTGTGTTCTGTTATTTTGATTCCGATTTGTTTTTTTCTGGACTTTAGTTCATTTTCAGTTTGGACATTTATTCTGATGCTCTGCATTTGGAAGGAGTTTTGCTCTCGGTTCTTCACATTTGGGTAGCTGTTATGATGCATAACCATGGCAAGAAGGTCAGTTTAATTGTTTAATCAATAAAATAAGGCCTGAACTTTGACCCCAAATTCCAGAGGAGTTGAAAAGTGGAATTCAACTACTTGGAATCGTGGATCATGTCCAGACGTTGGAGTTTGGATATGACTGCAGACGCTTTGAAAACAATCAGAAGTGACACAAATTAAAAAATTTTACTGAGTGAAAACATCGGATTTGCGTTGCGTTCGCCTGCTGTCTTTCAGGGCTGCAGCTTTTAGATGCTCCTGGTCCAACACATCTGATCAAAAAGCCGATTTCCTCCTCAGCTTCCCGATTCACCTGCTGATGACATCATCATTTGATGATCTAAAAGTTTCAGGTCACTGGGACTGGATGGACATCGGGGACACAAGCCTGAAATCCACCATTCAAAGTTATTTGAATTTGTTTTTCCTCTTTATTAACATTTTTAAACTAATTCAGAGTGTCCCTCTATGATTTTTACTAATAATCTCTATCATTGGACCTGGTGATGTCATCAGCTGAAGCGCCTAAAGCAGAACCAGAACCAGAACTGCTGTGTGACACCAGGCAGTGGAAATCATGTCTGGAGTTTTCTGGTGTGTGTACGTTTTTTATTGGAATAAAGAAGTAATAATCGATGCAGAGTTGTACTGAACTCCATGGACTTCGTTCTCTATTTGTCTGGTTTCCACATGCAGTAATTTCTGCAAAATCAGTTTGTACTGAAAGAAATGCTGCTTGAAACGAGAAGCTGCATTGAGAGCTTGTGAGAGGAGAAGTGTTATTCACAAATTTAAGTGTGAATCTGAACACGAGGATGAGACTCATTGGGAAAAAAAAGCAGAAGTGAGAGCAACATGTTTGTTTCCATTTTGTTTTGCAGTTTTTGGTTTCGTGCTCCATGGGCCTCCCCCCCCGGCAGGCTCAGAGGGTTTCTCTGGACCCTGAGAATGTCACTAACTTTCTCCTGCTTCATCACATGCTCACTCATACAACCAGACACACACCTACACCTGCAACACGAGAAAACAAACTGGCCTGGATGTGGGCTGCAGGGTGCTGTCCCCACTCAGAGCAGGGGACGGACTCTGCACCGCTGCTTCCTGTGCATCCTACCTGTAATAACAAAGAAGCCGATGAGTTTGCAGGTAGTTCCCAACTGGTGCTGCTTGAAAGTCAGAGTGAAGATTCACCCACAGGTTGCACTATGTTCCAGTGTTTAACAGAGCCGCAGTTCAAACCAGCAGATTGAGACATGCTCACTTCCACTGCTGCCAGTCGGCTCTGCTCACACTTCTCTGTTTGTATCCGTCAGTGTGAAGACGACATAATTAGGATATTTTTACATCCATATATTTAAAGTTTCTGCAGAAAACAAACAGGCTAGATTGTGGAGATCTGGGGATTAAATTTAAACTGTGCTGCAGTTTTCAAACACAGGGATGTGCAACCTTAATTAGTCAGACTAAATCAAACCAGTTTAGAGCCACAAAGAGTTAATAAAGAGGAAATAAAGTTTTAAAAGACCATAGTTTTCATTTTTGATAAATATTTACTATAGAAAATGTGATGCAATTTGTAAAGAACCTCAATTGTCATGTCATCCCGTAGACATGACAGTGATTGAGCGTACAAGGTTGAACTGTTCCGTCTGTTTTCCTTTGTTTTTGTTTGGTCTTCGAAGATTGAGTCTCCGCCTGTTAGCAGAGAGAGGTGAATAAAGCAACTATGCAACTCCTGAGTTCATTAGAGCAGAATGATTTTCGCCTAATGCAGTTTATTTCTGCTCTCCGTCTGCATGCACATGTGTTAAAGATTGTTTTTGCTCCCTGACTTTTGTCTGAATCTCAGTCTCTGAATTGTTCACTTCACACTAATTTAACTATTTTAATTAAAGCGTTTAGTTTCAAACCAAATGACAAGAAAAACAGACCCAGAGAATAGAACTGCTACTTTTAAAGTCATTCAATTTTATTCCATGAAAAAAAATTTAAAAAACTATGAAAACCTGCATTTGTTAATAAATATGTACAAAATTTATTTAGTTATAATTTTTAGCCAAAGTTTTAAAGAGCCATTGTGGAAAGTCCAAAGAGCCACTTGTTGCAGATTCCAACTTTAAGAGCATTTTAAAAATTTGAGACAAAATGAAATAATAAATATGGAGATTTTCGTGACTTGAGTTTAATCCAGTCAGATTCAAATTGTTGTAAATCTGAAAGACCTGGACTGATCCGAGCTCAACGTTTTGATGCTTTTCTGTCAAAACCGGAGCCTGTTGGAAAAGTATTGCATCATCAAACAGCTGATTTACCATCATTTTGGTGCCGCCACCCAGTGATCCATCAGCGAAGCCAACAGATGTTTCTCAACTGTGGGAGGAAACCAGAAAAAACAGGCATAAATTCAGATTAAAAATCAAGTATTCACAAAAGTGAAATTCCTGCTGCAGGTAAAAGGAAAAGGACTTCACTCACCCTGCACACACGCTCTTCTCTCTCCTGCCCTCTGGGAGGCGTTACAGAAGCCTGCGGACCAGAACCACCAGGAACAGCTTCTTCCCCACAGCTGTCACGCTCCTGAACGCCTCCTGACACTGTACCCCCATCCCCAGACTGTTTCCTCACATACACAATCTGTATATAATCTTTATATAATCTGTAAATCTAATCTGCCATTACTTATCCTGTATTATAAAACAACTAATATATATATATATATACTATCCATTCTTCATATTCCTGTTTATTCTGTATAATCTCTGTAATTTGTATAATATGTACATAGCTCTCATATTTATTTATATTTGTACAAAACATTTTATTTATAGCACATCAATATTACTCTCTGTTTATATCTTTGTACAACTGTTTAAAAATATTTATATCCAATATAGCACTTCTGGATAGATGCAAACTACATTTCGTTGCTTTGTACATGTGACAGTGCAATGACAATAAAGTTGAATTCTATTCTATTCTAATTCCCCTCGTATCTGTTTGTCCAGGTCAGGCTGTCCAGCTAATCTGGTTTAATCTGATCTCTTTTAGTTGATTTTTGAGTTCTTGTTTTAGCTTCAGAGTGGATGAACTCACCTTGTGTCTTCATGCTTTCGCATCCAGCTTCAGTAAAACATGATGTGTAGCCCTACAAGTACATTTCTGTCTATCTGAGTTCCAATAAACTGGTGCATTAAATGAATCTGGCCAGAATAATAGAGGTTGTAATAAACTGAAATGTGCAGGTTCATGTCTGACTGGTTAGAAATGTTTGTTACCTGTATGTTTAAGTTCATTTTCCAGTGTTTGTCTCCTTTGTGATTTCTGTGTTCATTATTCTCCTCTTCCTCGGTTCTCTTCCTCAGCTGTTCCACATTCCTCTGATGAACTCACCTGCATTCAGACTCATTCTCCACCTGGACCTTTGTTATTCAAGCTCTCCGGTTTTCATTATTTTTGCTCTCCTTTCCTCTGACTGTGCTGCATGTAGGCATTCTGCTTTATTTTTTATTAATCTCCACTCTGATCCTTCCAAACTTTCTGCTGAAACATAGATAAAAAAAAATGTGTCAGTTCATCTGAATTCAATAAATGATCATAATTGACAGACCAAAACACAAACTGAAGCTCTGTGTAGGAAAGTTTCCAACTTTCAGACCTGGAGAAGTTGAAAATATTTTCATTTCATTAAATTCTCCCATCAGCAACCAGGAAGCTTCAGGGGAATAAATGTGGTTATAATTTAATGATGGGATTTCAGTTCAAATCTGATTCCAATCTATTCATAAAAGATGATAATATAATTAGTGATGAAGCTTTAATGAAGCTGGATTGAACTGGATTGCTTGTAATGATGCAGCTGGATATGAGATAATGTGAGCATCAGCTTCTTGTTTTCAGAATAAATAATATCAAAGCTCAAACATTTATTTTACTTGACTTAAGCAATATTTTGTTTGTTTTTTTTACCCAAATGAAACATTTATCTCCACTGAATTCAGCTAAATGTACAACAGATTAAACTCAAACCTCCGAATGATTCATTCATGGAGCTTTGCACCTTCAGAGAACTCCTGAAACTAAAAACCTTTTGGAACAGAAATGTTTGACTTTCTCATACTAAACTGTCTTATCAGAGTTCAGTGAATCCATTTCAAACTGATGTCAAGATGAAAGTTTGTTTATTCAGAGAAAAGTGAAGAAAATATTGACAATGAAAGTCAGAGCGTCACATTAATGCCACTCTGATAATCTCAAAAGAATAAAGTCAGATGAGAAGACAAACTGCTCCTTCCTGTGCAGGTGATCAGGTATTTCTGACTGCTGGGATTTCCAGGGTTGTTGATGGTGGATTCTGCCGGGTCTTCCCGCCTCAGCAGCTGCAGCTCTGAAAATGAAACCTATGGATGGGTTTGGCTTTGCTGTGTTTAACAAAATTATCGCTACTTTCTGAGGCCTCCTGGTTCACTTTAGTGTAGCACAGGAGAGGCAAAAAGATCCAAGATCTCCCAAAGCATCCTGTAAGAAATGAGAGAAAAGCTGTGATTTCACTGAGCGGGAAGCGACTCTGCAGCTGGTAGAAGCCGCGCCTACCTCCACTCGCATGTCTAGATGCAAAACTCTGGAAAAACATGAAACTGTTAGAATAAATGTTAAAGAAAACAGCATAAACGTGCATTGCTGATGAGAAACCTTTCTCATGAGGTAGTGTGACGCTCGCCGTCAGGCCATTGCAAGCCGAGTTCCTGACAAACGTCGTCAACATCTCCGAGTCGACATCCTGCTGCCGACCTTCAGGTCAAACCACGGAAAAAAAGAAAATCTAAGTAACTCACTAGAGATGCTAGTTATTGATTACTGACTTAATCTAAACTTGATTGATTTTTTAAACTTGACTGACATTTCATTTAATGAATGATTAGTTCAATTAGTTAAATTATTGGATGTTTTCTTAAAAATCTGAGTTTTCTCTGGCCTCTTTAGGCTGGATGCTGGATTTTTTTCAAAATTATGTTTTATGAAACTTAAGGAGTTTGTTGAGTGTTTAGATTTCAAAACAGAACCAAATAAAGTGATTTTTCATCCCCCTCCAGACCGTTTCTCTCTCCTGCCATCTTTGTTTATGTATCTACTGATTTGCTTAAAGATGACCAGTGGCGCCCTCTTCTGGATGGTGCCCAAACTAGAACACTACAGGAAGGTCAAAGTGAACATTGTTGTTTAATTATTGGATTAATTTTCATCTAATGAACAATTAATCACAAGTAGATGAATTGCATCCCTACAACTAACTAAACTGTATATAATTTAGTTAGGGTTATTCTGCTGGTCAATATTTTGACCAGCAGAATATAAATATAACAAATGTAAAAAAAAAAAAGAAAAAAGAAGAAGAAATAAGAAGTATTTGCAGTTTTAGAGGTTTTTGTTTGATAAAAGGCTGAATGTGACTTGATGTCGGGTGAGTTACTGTATAGCAGGAATCTGTTGAGTGAATCCTCCGAGTCGGTCTCTTTCAGAGGCGGCTCTAGTTCCTGGAAAACGATGCAGTCGCTGCAGTTGGCCCACATGCCGCTCCACAGCAGATTACGGCGCTGCTGCCTGCCTGGATTAGAACCGACACACACCAGTAAAACACAGATCAGATGTAAAAGAAACTCCATTTCTGCTTCATTTAAACCAGATGGTGCACAGATTGTTTCAGGTATTTAGAGTCTCTTCATTGATCCTGGAAGTATTCTGAATTACTGATTGTAAATGGTTCTTTGCCTGTTTTTGTATTTCACTTTATCAAGTCCAGAGGACTCTCTGCAGTCATATTCCTCCTCGCTGTCTTCATTGCAGGAAACGTTTCTGCTGCTGTGCAACCATTCAACAACTGTTCAAGTCTTATTCTGGAGCAAAAATATTTTTAAAAAGGTGCAAAGTGGTTTATTAGACCTGGACTGTAAATAAATGAGATCTTTGACAAATTTGAAGCAGCAGAAAGCAGATGGCAGTTTATGCTACTATCTGAGTTTATTATCTGTAGTGGGGAAATTGGAGAGAACAGAGTTCCTAAATATTTTGATTAGAGTGAAGAAAGATGAGTTTGAATGATAATAAAAAAAGCAACCCAAAACAGTACCCTGGGGAACTCCATGTGATGAGAAAGTGGTTCTAATGTTTGGTGCACAGTGGCATGCTGAACACATTCCTAAGAATATCATATTTCTGCAGGCCTGAAAACCAAAACCAGCGCCGGGATTTCCCCAGCAGCTCACATTATAGTTCTAGAGAATCACAGTCTTGATGTCAGGTGTTTTCTTCTTTATTCTTTCTCCTTTTTTCAGACATAAACACACCACCATCCCTTTTAACCATCCTGATCCGTTTCTCCTCTCTTGTCAACGCTGGTTAAAGCTGCACTAACCTTCCAGCAGCAGGTCATCCCTCCCCGGCTGCACATGATACGTCCAGTTCTGCTTTATGCACGCCTCTCCCCTGCAAACATGAAAAATAAAACCAAAACTGACCTATTGAGAAATACAAGAGAGAAGTAATAGTTTAATTTTTCAAATAAAATCATTTTCACTTTTTCTACTTTCACATTCCCTTTTCTACCTATGCTGCAAACGATGCTGGTTTATTTGCCTTGCATAACTCTGGGTTCAGTCAAGCTGTGACGTGAATTTCCAAGCATAAAAGTTTAGTTCCCTTTTTAAACTTCTGAACAGCAACGCGTCCTCTGCTGATGATTTTTATAGGTGCTGTTAGCTCCAGTTTTTAAAAACAAAAGGCTAATAAACCTTCAGTAAAAAGCAGCTTGACAAACATTGAAGCTTATCTTGGTATTTTAGACCAACGTCTCGTATGTTTGGGTTCAACGTCCAAAGACAAACTGTGAGCAAAAACTGGAAGTTAAACGGGTCTGGAAAGGGTTTGAGTTCAACCATCTGGCAGAAGATCATGAATGTCAGAATCAAAAGTGCTGGAATACACAATTAAATGTCCGATCAATATGCATTTTAGCTCCTCCTGGATAAAAATGCATAATCCAGGTTAATCCAGAAACTGATCAATTGAATTGATCAGAGCCAATCAGAAAGCTCTGGGCTTGTTGAAGTTGGAAGGATTTTTCAGTTGCAGATTCATCCTGTGCTACAAATGACCAGGCAACGACGACATGAACAGTTATTAAAATTAGAAAATAAAATGTTTATTGAATGTTTGCATGTGATTAAATGAATGAAGAATATTAAAATGCAAGCATTGGTACACATTTAGTCACAGAGTGAGGTCAGAGGTCAGAGGTCAGAGGTCTGAGCATTCTGCAGAGTTATCAGTTGAAGAACTTCATATGTCCTTCAGATTGGCTGAAGGACATCATATGTACGAGCTGCTGGTTACGTCAACAAGAGCAATGCAGAGCATCGAGTGTGGAGAAATGAAAATGGCCTCCAGCTTTGCTAACATGACCTCTCACTAATGTACAAATTATCAGCCATGAACAGGAAAGTCTGGAGCGGAAGAAATGGACTGGGCTGACCTCAACCTGACAGAACTCCTATGGGACAAATTAGAATGGTGAGCCTCATCCAACATCAGTGTCTGACCTCACAAATGTGATCAAAAACTCCCATCAACTCTATCAAGCTTTGTGGAAATCCTTCCAGAACAACCGGAGCTGCTGCAGCGGAAACGGACGAGCTGGTACCAAATCAGTGTGTTGAATCACCAACAGGACATCACGTGTGTGTGTGTGTGTGTGTGTGTGTGTGTGTGTGTGTGTGTGTGTGTGTGTGTGTGTGTGTGTGTGTGTGTGTGTGAAAGCACATGAAGGAATACTTTTGGCATGACACACACTTATACATATAGAGCTGATATTCATAGAAATGTGTGAAAGAGGTTGTTGTCATTCTGAAACTGTCAGCTGCTACATGCTTTAGTTTCCTGCATCCAATGATTCCGTCTTTTATGTGTGAGCATGTGTGTGTGTGTGTGTGTGTGTGTGTGTGTGTGTGTGTGTGTGTGTGTGTGTGTGTGTGTGTGTGTGTGTGTGTGTGTGTGTGTGTGTGTGTGTGTAGCAGGGCTGTTTGACTTCTTACATCCGCATGTTTCCAGTCAGGACCAGCGTGGTGTTGGACCTGTCCTCTATGGTGAAGACGATGTTGTCAAACATCCTGAACTTGCTGATGTCTGAGTCCCTGGGACTGACGGCCGCCTTGAAGAACCATTTCCCCGCATACTGAAACACACACACAGGGAGAGAGATGGTCGGTCGTGGGGGAGGGAAGCAGTAAACACGAGAAGAAGATTATTAAAGATAGAAGCCCACGACTTGCAGCAAAGACCACTTGTGGAAAGAACAGAGGAGGAGGTGGAAAGTTCCCTTCTGAGGCAACGCATCTCAGTAAAAACACCAGTAAACCACATGAAGGACGGTTAACGTTCCTTCATTTACTGTTTTACTGACAGAAAGCAAACATTTTGAGTCTCACCTGGTGCAGGTCGAGTGAGTTCACAGCCAGCAGCTCACGATACTTGCAGGGAGCAAAAATCTGCTGAACAAAAGCATGAAAATACAACAAATATAGCCAAACTTCACTGAACATGACTGCAAATTAAATCAGAATGTACAAATGTCAGTGAACTCCAAGGACACGTCTGACTTTATGCAATGTTGCTAAATTAAACAGAGTGGGTGTGGGTGAATTATTAGCTACTGTTCTGCAGCGGGGGGCTGCCGTTAGCGACAATCATCTGGGGCTGAGCTTGAGGTTTCAGCATCCTTTGATGCAAACAAATGTTTTTTAGATGATAATAGTATAAAGTAAATCAAACTTTCATTTTTCAAAGAGATGAACTGTTGAAAAGCACTTTAAAAACAAACTTCCTGAGTGAATCAGCTCTGTGTGGGAGGATGTGGTGATGTCAAAATCTCATCAAAAAAGAAGCAGATCATAAAGAAAGTCTTGCTTGAAGCTCAGCTTCAGTGTCAGAGACGGTTTAAAGGAAAACAGAACCAGAATCATTGACTGTGCTGCAGCCTGAGCCTGCAGGGAGCAGAGGCCATTTTTAGAAAAAACAACTAACTAATTCACTAACTAGTGAATTAAATTCACTCATTTAAATATATATTTAATATTCACATGAATATTAAATAAATATTTAAATACATATTTATCTAAATATTTACTTAAATAAATATTTAAATAATTATATTGATAAATACTTATTTATTTAAATATTTATTTAAAATATTGAAATCAATATTTTAAAAATATTGATTTTAATATTTTTACATTGTTAGAAATATTTATATCAATATTTTTAAATATTCAATTAAAAATAAATATTTTAAGAGCAGCAGAGCATAATATATATATATATATATATATATATATATATATATATATATATATATATATATAATATATATATATATATATATATATATATATATATATATATTCATGATATATATATATATATATCATGAAAATGAAATATGGATCAGAATAACTGAAGGGTGTTTCATGTGGATTTATTTACTTTTAAATAAATGTTTATTTTTAAATAAGTAAATCCTGAAACCGTTTTGTACGAGGCGTGTGAACGTAAATGAGATGCTAAATGATGAGTAGCATCTGGAGGTTACTGGAGCTTCTGTCAGGATGGTGAGTGAACGTCAGCAGACAGCAGCAGGACATGCGGCAGGAACACCTGGAGGTTTGCATGACGTCGGCCACATCCTCCACTCTGGCATGTCATCCTGCAAACCTTCTGGTGCTTCACTGCTTTGGGTCAGTGAGGATTTAATTACCTTGTAATTACACAATGTTGCCTAAAAGGATCACTTTAACCAACATGTAGCTGCATGCTCCCTCAGCAGCAGAGCATGGGCTGAAGGAGCAGCCATTTTCCCAGCCAGGGTGAGGAATGCATGAGTTCTGGTTCTGGTTCTGGTGGCCTTTTGGTTTTCTGGTCAGTTTGACTTATTTCCTCTTAGACGTGAGCTAACCATTTATTCCTCTTCAGTTGAAAAAAAGAGTAAAATCTAAATATTTCTGCTCTTTGGTCTTGAAAGTATTTTAAAGCCAACAGTAGAAAATCTCCTCATTTTGGTTGTTTCAGTCACAGCTTTGGTCACAGAGTCGTCATTTCCAGGAGCTGTGAACTGATTTACATGTGAAACAATAAAAACCCTCCGGGGAAATCTTGACATACAAAAGGTCAGTCCATGCGCTGGAAATTCAAAAAATAGATTTTTGTTTTATTAACACCTGGTTTCCATATCTCCATGCCAATTTAAAATGTTATTGTTGTGCTGAATCATTTTTAGGTTAATCCAAAATAAATTCAGTGCTTATTGCTTAAATTATGAATGTAATAACCTTATTAGGGTTAGACTGCTCTACCAAGTAAACAATAATGACAAATATGGTTGAATAATTAAATTTATCTGCATCAGATCACTGGAAACTGTTAAACAAGAAGGGAAATGCAGGAGATGGACGACAGGATGAGTTACTGTAATAATTCCTGCTTCTACAAGGGGGCGCCAAACAGTTTTACCTGCAGGGTCAGCCAGGCCATTTCCTGGCTGATTCTCAAGCATTAAAGTTTGATGATGAGAAATTTTAGCAGAAGACTCTCCTCAGATCGGGGGGGTCCAAAGTGTGGCCCTGGGGCCACTAACGGCCGCCTTAATGATGCAAATGTGGCCCATCAGAGAGAAAATAATTATCCACAAATTATTTTAAAAATGTTTGGCACAACAAAAGCATTTTAATAACCAAGTTTCTAGATTTCTCTGTAATTTAATGCTAAATAGAATCACATCCATCCAGTGGAGTTTGATGGACCCAGATCAGCTTTAAGCACTTTATTAAAACATCGGCAAACACAGAAAGTGTTTTTAAATCAACGGTGATTTCATTCATGTTTTTATTGCTGATCTTTATCAAGCCAAGGAGATTTAGAAAACTGGATTTCTTTCTTTAAATAATGAAAACATTAAACTTTTTTGAAGTTTTGATGCACACATCCCTTTCCTAATTTAAAAATATATTTGTTTCATTTAAATATTTCAAGCTTAGTTTTTGTTACCAAAAAAAATCCCAATATACAATATTTTTCTGTGATTTTAGTTTCTTAAAAATGTGTATTTTCTTTTTTTGGCCTGCAAGTTTAACAAAAAAAGTTTATGCCACCTGGATATTAGTTACCTGAATAAATAGAAGAAGAAAGGCTATCATCTAAGTATTAATATAATATTAATATGCAGATCTATTCAGTGCACATTAATTTTCTTGCAATTTCTTCTGTATCCAGAACAGCCATTTTATTAGGTACACCTGTTCAACGGCTCCTATAGCCAAACAATCATCCCATCAGCAACTGGATGAAAGACCATAGACTAACAGCTGGTGTTTATGTGGCTTCATATCACATTTATGATACTCAAAGGTTTTAGTTCAAAGGTTTATTTCAGATATTAAACAGGTTTAATAAAACCTTCAGGTGCTTCTCTGAATGTCCTGAGCTCCTCCAGTGTTCACTTCTTATTTATTGGTGTAAATCAAATAAATCAAAACAATCTAAACTTAATATTTATGTCTATGTGACAAGGCATCGCAGCATCTTATCTCATCAGGTCACAGATCCATAACACTGCAGAAATATGTTCATATTCTGAGGATATTCAGTTTAATCTGTGCAGTCAGGTTGTTCTGCTGCAGCTTGAATAGCATCATGTCCGTTAGTTAAACGGGATTTATGATGCAACTACCCGGGATTTAAGAGGAAAATAGGACGACTCATTTATTAATGTTCAGTAACCTTTAGACACAACAGAAGCAAACATCTTCATGTTCATTTAATTCATTTAATAATTGTTTTCATCAAGGAAGAAAATGGAACCTGCATTAGTCTCAGGAGTTGAAAGAAACAGCTGAAAAGCCGTTTGTGAAACATTTCCGAGGAAAACATGAAAGAGGAACAATCTGAAGAACCTGAAAAACCTTAAAGTTCAAACCAAAAGAAGCTTTTATCAGAATCAGATGTGAGGGGCCAAATTACAGGATGTTAAGACATTATCCCACATATATTCCTTCTTTTTAAACATTTGAAAGATGTTTTTTCAAGAGTCTCCAGTGTTTGCATGAGAATCTACCAAACTGCTATGATCTGAAAGTTCTTGTTGACCTTTGCTCTCCAGGCCCCTGTGGAGGCCCCTGTGGAGCTGCTGTTTGTGGCCCTTGCAGAAGCTTCTTGTTCCCTGTCTGAAGGGTGGAGGACGGTGGAGGACATCCACCTAAGACTCCCCCTTCAGAACCGACACCAGCTCCCCACTTTCCTTCAGCTCCTTGACTATGTCCAGACCTCCGACCAGCTCGCCCTTCACGTACAGCTGCGGGTACGTGGGCCAGTTAGAGTAGGTCTTCAGCCCCTGCCGGACCTCCTCATCCTGCAGGATGTCAAAGGTGTCATAATCCACCCCGGTTCCGTTCAAGATCTCCAGGATCTGCCGGCTGAAGCCGCATTTGGCCGCCTCCTTGTTGCCCTTCATGAACAGCATGACCGGGCTCTGGTTGAGGCGGACTTCAGGCGCTGCTCCAGGCTGACGCCTTGCCTTCGGGCTCTCCAGCTCCCCGGACTCGGCCAGCTCCTTCACGATGTCCAGGCCTCCCACCAGCTCCCCGTTCACATACAGCTGAGGGTAGGTGGGCCAGTTGGAGAAGGTCTTCAGACCCTGTCGGACCTCCTCGTCGGACAGGATGTCGAAGCTGCTGAACTGGATGTTATGCTCCTTCAGGAGCCCCACGATCTGCCGGCTGAAACCGCAGCGGGGCTCCTGCGGGGAGCCCTTCATGAACAGCATGCAGGGCCCCGCGTTGATGAGCTTCTTCAGCCGCTCGTTCAGGTCGGGCGCCTCCGCAGCTCCGGCCGGGCTCCCGCTCACCGCCAGCCGCTGGACCTTCTTGGTGAGCTCCGCAGCGTGAGCCCGTCCAGCCGGTCCACCTTCTCCCCGGCCTTGAAAAACAGGACAGTGGGCACCGAGGAAATCTCATACTTCTCCGACACCTCCGGGACCGCCTCCGCTTCCAGCTTCACGAACGTGGTGCCGGTGTGTTCTTTGGCCAGCTCCGCCATTACTTCGTTCATTTGGCCGCACTGGGGGGCCCATGCAGCCTGGAAGTGAACCACGGTGAGGCATTTTCCAGCCTTGGCGAGAAACTCCTCAAAATGCTTCTGGCTCGTCGCCTGCACCAAGTTCGCCATCTTTTCTTCTCTCGTAGAACACTTCCGATTGCCCCCTTACGTCACTTCCTTGTTAGCTTCTTAGCTTCAAGCAAACACCGGAGCTGCGACCCCCGGGAAGCGGTTCGTTCTCCGGTGAAAACAACCAGATATCACCGGATATAGTGACAAGGTAGAGTGGTTAATAGGTAAGAGCGTAACATCCGTGGAGATGAACGTTTACTGTCTCTGTTCGTTGTGACGTATAGCTGCTTCTCATTAGCTTAGCATAGCCGTCCCTCAGTTAGCTTATAAACCAGCTGGACGGTCTTTGTTAAGCCTTATCTGTTTACAACCAACAACTAAACGCAAGACTGGAGTTATTTCTGACTGTGGTATGTTTTAGAGTAAAAGTTAACAGGAAACA